AGATGTATATGAATGGGATTTATTTTTTTACATTGATGGTTATATTGAAAGGGTGTCTACGCATGGACTTCTCTACATATATGAAATACCTTTCCATACTTCTTGCTAGACTCACAAGAGAAGACTCTTCAAGGATTGTTTAAGCATCCACATCTAACACCCATATATATTTATATACACATACATACATTTCTGTACCTAGACATCATCTTCAGCTATAATCTTAAGACATACAATTTTTTTAGCACGTGTTTTGTGCTTGGGCACAAGGACAACCACTTAAGTGGAAAGCTATGGAACAGTAGATGTACAGTGTCTCCCCATACCCCAGGAAGAAATGAAAGCTTGGTGTCTCGCTGCCTGTCTCAGCTTGAGGGCCTTGCTCGGCTGTATACGTGCTTTGGTTTCTGCTATCACTGCCTGGGCTGAAAGGCTCTTAAGCTGTTTGTTCACATCAGGCTGCAAGGAACAGATTGTTTGTCACCGTGTGTCTCATTTCTTTCATTTTGGAATTTATTCTAGTGCCAGCTCTCCACGCAGGTAAGATCCCAGTTTCTTTCTGAGATGGAGGTGCTTGAGCCCCATTACGCTCAGACTCCTTTCCTTGCCTCAATGTTTCACACACTCTCTGCCTCAGATATTCCTGTAGACGAGAATGACACTGCTTTTCAGGGACTGGAGCACAAGTGTGACTGCCAGACAAAGGGTATGCGCTCATAGCACAATAAGTGTTTAAGGGGAAAAAAATTCTGGGGTAAAGTGATTGCGATTAAGCTGGAAAACTAACGAGGAGGGGGAGAAAAAAGAAATTTAGCTTTGAGTGTCCAGCAGAATTTATCAAGGCAAGTCAGACCATCTCAAATACACTGCGACTACAGGGTCACAGGATGTGGCTTTGCTAAGACAAAGGAATGAGTTCAGTAAACCAGAAGTTTGGGGTTTTTTTGTACTTTTTTGGTTCTAAAAAGAAAAGAATGCAATTGGAAACAGAAGGGAATCAAGGGAAATGTGGCCAAATGCCCCGAGAGACTTCTCTTCCCCCTTGTCCCTTTGAAAATAAAGTCCTTAATCCACCAAAGCACAAACCTGTGAAACAGAAATGGGTGGTCAGACCTTAGCCTTGCTGCAGGGCAGTAGTGAAAACCAAGACCGTAGCCTAGGACGCCTCAGCCTTACGGTAGTGGTTGGGTCCCTGTTTCTGATTTTAATCCCAGCAAGACAATACAGCTCCTCTTCTCCCCAGCCCTGCTCTGCTTATGCTTCAGAAGGATTAGAGAGAGAAACGAGTTTAACTTTGCTAAACTCATCTTGAAGTAAGCATTTACAGAAAATGTCAACTCATCTGAAATAACACGTTATCCTAGGATGTCGCGATGAACTGTGCCAGGTAAAGCATTGTGATAAAACATCGCTAACTAGTTTAGTCAACTGATTTTCAAAGTCTATACTAAGGTCTTTAACTAATATGCTGTTGTACCAATAGCTATGAGTTTGTATGACTTCTAGTCATCATTTCTTGCTGACTTTTGTAAAGCGTTTCCATAGATATTAAATCACACCACCACAATCACTAAAAAGTTGGTGATGTTAGTAAAACACTTAAGTTCTCTTTTTTTTTTTTTTTTTTTTTAAACTCTCTACTCACCTATGATTTCTTAGGAGGAAGCTCACTAATCAAGCTTTCTTTGGCACATACAACTTATAGCTTTGTAAAAAAAAGATCTTAAATTGACACTGTTTATTAATATCCTACTTCTTGCAGGAGATACATAACATCTTCTCCACACTTGACCCAGTTTGAAAAGGCAGGCTACATGTCTTTTGAGTCTGTAGCTTGGATTACAAGAAAAAATTAATTACAATATGGCCTTTGTCTGACAGAGGAACTGACACGCATTTATTAAAATCTGTAATCCATCACAGTTGAAGATTATAGAAGATTTTTTATGATTCTTATTTTTTTTTCTAGATCAGAACCAATATGTGTGAGTAAAGAGATTATCCTAAGCACTTATGTTTTAAATAACTTGTCAACATGCTAAGATGATGAATGTGATTACAAACATCTCTGGAAGAAACCTTGAATGACAGCTGATTCCTTGGATTATCGTTTTAAAATGTCTGCAAAACATTTAGGTTGAAAGAAACAGTTATATCAAGATGGGATTTTAGAAAGGAGGATTCCTTTTTTGCTTTTGGTCCATAGGGGTTTGAAAAACATAGTAGAATTAATTGGCCTAAAAAAGACTGTGTTGTAAATACAGGAATAGAAGATATCAAAATAAAAATGCATGAAGTTATGTGAGGCTACAAGCCAGTTTTCCTAAAGAAAAGGCTGGAGAAGTAGTGCATGAGCATTACAGTTTCTTATGTTGTGTGCTAATGTGGTGAAGAGTAGAAGTATACGGTAAGAAGATTATGGAATATGGTTTGCAAATGGCCATAAGATCACAATTAACCTCTCTTGTACAGGCACCCCTAGATATTAAGAAAGGAAAAAATTGTGTCTGTTTTTTGGAATGAGAGGGCAGAATTATATAATATTGCTGTCCCCGTTAGCCGAGACTGCAAGCGGAGCGTGTCGGTCAAGCGGAGAGATTTAGAGGAAGTAGTATGGAACCTTCCAGCCACCTGGAAAAAGGAGATACCCCTTCCTCAAAGAGCAATTGGTACACACCTTTGTGTACACCAACTTTGTGCCTGAACGCTGTGAAGAAAGTGTATGTCTAATTCAACAGTGTTGTAACAATGTGTATCGTTTGGGACAATGAGCCTATTCTTTAAATTTGTTAACTCTTATTATGTAACACCCCCAAAATAACACAAATATAGTAAGAAAAAAACCTGGGTCCTATGTTTCAAAGGTGTTTAACTTGGCTAGGGATATGTTGGAAGTTCACTTGCATTTAGAAGCAGTATCTCAGTTTCCTGGACTTCAGAAGTAGCGAATATGCAGGTATGACAAGCACCACCAGAGGGAAAAAAAAAAAAAAAGTGTAAAACCTGAATAAAGATGGCTCAGAAAAGTAGGTTCCCTCATTTCTGAATTACTCAATCAACTAGTTATGGCTGTGAACTAAAGTGGCAAGTACTAGTATCTGCAGGCACATGGCTGTGCCCCTGGCCTGAGGCCGAGCTACCTGCACAGATCCTGGGGCACTGCTGGGCACGAGCCGGGAAGCCGCAGAAGAGAGCAAGAGTAGCAGCTGGCAGATGTTCCGAATAGCCCCATGAAGTCTGGCTGCGATTCACAGGGAATTATGTGAGGGAAGGCCAAACTCTGGCGGAGACCTTTTGGAAAGAAGAGCTTGCAAGGGCAGAAATACCAAGGTAACCATGCTGATAATACCATGTACGGCTGAGATGATCTAAGTGCTGCAGCATCAGAGGTTTCACATTTGGGTATGGATGTGACAAAACTGGGGCCCATGAAAAAAAGGTAATTAGGTAATTAGGTTGTTTATCTGCAAAGAGACAGGGAGACCAGGGTGGAGAAAGAGGGATCAACATGGATAGGGGAAGAATAAGCAAGGGAAAATGGAGAGAAGAGGGGTAAAAGGGGATGTGTGCATGTAAGCAGGCTGCTGGGCAGTACCCTGGCCCGACTGTGCCCTGTGCCGGATCACTGCCCTCTGTCCTGCCTTCTTTTCAAATCTTAGTTCTATTTTCTGCGTGATGAATCCTGTTTCTATCACTGTCCCAGGTGTGCATGCATGCATGTCTGTGCGTGTCTCCCTGTGTGGAATACATGCCCTGCGTGGCCCCTAGCCAGACCTGCAGAGGGAAATTGGGCTGAGACAGGAGCATCCTCCTGCATTCAGCTCTGGTGGACAGGGAAGGGGAAACCCCCCCAAGCCCAGTGGATTCAGCCACTGCATAATGCTTTACTGCATTACTGCGTTACTGTGGTTATAAAGAGAAGTGGTCAAGTGTGAAAGAGAATTCAAGCGCATTAACACGTTAAAACAGTTTTACAAAACAAACTATACATTACTTTGTTTTCATTATTTTGTCTATAAGATCCTTTTTTAAAAGAAAAAAGAGGACAAGAGCAGTAAAAAGTCTGCTTTACTGCTAGCTATTTTGTCTCCTGTCTAGCACCTTTACACTCATTTCGTGTATCAACAAGTACAAGGATTTTTTTTTTTTAAAGTTGCCACTGTTTAGATTCCTCTAAACCTAAATTTGTTTTGGCTTTGTTGCACCTCTGCCTACCCTCAATCCCACACTGCTGAAGGGGTCTAGATCTGCTGCCACACTGACATGCCTCACACACCCTTGTCTCAGGACATCAGTCTCCAAGTCCACATCAGGTCCGTCTTCTCCCACCCCCTATTTTTCATCTACGATACTGTCCATTAGTTTCTTTGGCATTCTGGTCCAGAACAGTACCTCGGCTCTCAATATTCCTACATAGCAACTGAATGTACCAAAGTGAGAAAATAGTTACTCTCGCGGCCTGTGTTATTTCTACACAAAGACCTATTCTGCTCCAGGCTCCTCCACCCTCCTCAGTGCTGCAACCTTCAGCACAATCAGTACCTTTTCTTGCCAGTTCAGGTTACAGAAAATGAGTGGCCAAGTTGAAACAATTTGCTTTTGTTCTTGCAGAGATTACTTGCTTTACTGCTTCCCAGAGTTTGGCTTCTGCTTTGCCAAAGGAGGCAGCGAAGAGCTCAGCAGTTGAATGAATGGTCTGAAGCAAAGCCAGCGTGGAGAAATCTTGCAAGTGGGCATTTAAGGCAATTTGGAGGCCTGGGACAGCTTGTGGGTGACTAGACTGGGAGAGGCTAAACCAGGAGCCAACGTGGACACTACGGAAGTGGAGCAGAGATTAAATAACAAAACGTAAAGTTTTCTAAAACTGTCTTCTGAACTCACAGATTCCACAGGAAGAGCAGCCATCTCCAGGTGAGCCTTGAGTCCTTATTCTTGTAAGTAAAATCTCTCTCATATGACAGTGAAGACTTTTTACTGTATGTGGTAGACTGCTAAGCACAGACTGGAATATTTATATTTATTTTTGCAATGCCATAGGTAAAAACAATTTAACAATGCCAAGTACAGGTGTTATTCTCATAAAAACTTCTCATTTCAAACCAAATGATTTCTATTTCCCACAAAAAGTTAAAATCACATGCAGCTAAATGAAGGTTAATTGCTTAAGATGCACAGTTATATATCAGAAGACTTTGTTAAAATGAAAACATACTGGACTACATCATTTTAACAAGGCAATTACACAGAACTAGAAAACTGACTCTGTAGTAAAATATAAAAATCTACAATTATAAATATAAATTTGGTCCATGGAATCACTACAGAAGTAGCAGTATTTACAGTAAGTATCAGATTACTATTCTAAATGCCTAATTGAAGTCTTAAAATGTTGAATGTTATGGAGAACAGTATTTTATTTACATTCTACTATATTAAAAGTTGTATTTCTAGCAAATGTAAATTGTTATAAATACAGCAAATAAATCAAATACTAAAACCATGACACGTTTGTTTGTAATTGAGACTCCCCTAACATCTATAAATATGATAATTTTAAGTTAAAAGTAAAGCCAAAAACTAATACTGAAAAAACATACCACAATTCAATTCTTAGAAACACTGTAAAAGTCAATCAAGTTAGTCCAGACGTAACAACGTATTACAAGAAATCTTTCAAGAAAAGGCACACATTGTTAATAATAAAAGTTCTGCAGTAAAGTCATATGTAACAGAAATGACTGTTTGAGCAACGGTTGGGATCTGATTACATATATAGTGACTGGACAGATTTCCCCCCCCACAAAGTATAAAACTGAAAATATTAATGGTAAACTCCAGGTGTGACTGGTGTGATGTAGGTGTGTCTGAGTTTAATTTGATGTGTTAATTAAACTAAAGATTCTAAACTTTCAGCCACATTTCCATCGGGTAAAGCTGAGCCATTACTGTCCATAGATGCTGAAGGGTTTTCTTCTTGCCTTGTGCTGACAAGGCTGAGAATAGCTTTGTACAGAAACTGGTACTGTTCCTGGAGAAGAAAAGAGGATATAGTCAGTATGTTGTCAGAAATAGTAACACTAGCCTATCTTGTAACACTGTTACTCCAAATTAATTAACAGCTGATGTGTCAGTCTGTTAATGTACTGTGCTCCACAACTTGTGTTACTTAGCAGCTTTATTAATTTCCTAACTAATGGCTCCCCCTGTACACGATGTAAAGCACAACATTAAGGAACACAGTACAGGTCAGGGAGAAACCTGTATTTTTGAAGAAATATTATGTGCTAAACCTGACCCTTGTTAGAGTCAATTGCAAAGTTCCCATTGACTGAATGGGGTCAGGATTAGGGGTACTATTTGTCTGTTGGCTTTTTTTTTTTCCTTGAATATATTCTCATTTTTTTCCCCTCTGAATTCTATTCAAGGCAGATTTTTTTTTTTTTTTTCCCTGGTACTTGCAGTTACTGCTCATGTTTTTGAAGACCCTGCCAAGTGTAGGAAGAGAGATGAGACTTTGTGGGAAGATTCACTGAGGAGGCCACTGCCTAGAGGGAGCAGGAGGTTTCAGCTGGGTGCAGTGGGAAACACAGAGTGCCAGAAGCCAGCCGGACTGCAGTGTGGGCTGGGAAGGGGAGAACAGCTGGATGCTCTGGGCAGCGCCGCGCCTCGGGAGTGCAGGCACCGAGAAGGCTGTGCTGCATCAGGTAACAGTGGATGCTCTGAAAGGGCAGAGGAATATTTTGGGTTCTAGGGTGGATATATGAGGATAAAGAATTTCTGTGACGGAAGGAGTGGCGAGCAGTAAGATAGGCTTAATAGGGTGGGGTTTGGGGTCTGGACTATTAGGTTGCACTAAGATTAAGGGATAGGAAGAGCAATGAATTTGAAAATCTGCAGTAGGAAGATGAGAAACTGGAAATCTGAGATAAAGGGCTCAGGTATTTGCTGGAGGCTCCTGGAGCAAGAGGAGTGAAGGTCCTAATGGTGCTGCTGAGGTGGGAAGAGTTCCCATTTTCACTGAAATGTCTGCTAAGCACCTCAGTCTGGGCAGGGCAAGGGGCAGACACATCTGTGAATTCTGTGTCATGTCCTGGTTTTGCTGTCAAAACACCTAACATTTCACTCCTAAAGTGTTCTCTTTATTACATCCATTGTAGCTCTACAGCAGTCAGATTTATAGTGGTATGACCAAGGGGGCAGGGTTCATAGTTTTTCATTTCTGTGATGAATTTTCATTTGTATGACACTGACTTAGTAAGTAACTCTTATTTGTAATACTTTTCAAGTTTTTTCTCTCTGTAAGCACAGTGACAATGGTATTAAGTGACCATTCAACAGATCAGAAAAGATCAAATTCTATCCTGAAATGGAAAACTAGAGTAACTACTGCAGGGTCTACTTGGAGTACAGATTTATTCCTCCTGAATTAAAACCTTTGTTTACATGACATAGTGCAGATTTTATGATGATGGTGGCAGCTCTGCACATTTTGAATATGACCACTTGATAACGACATAACAGCTTTTCATGGGAAATACTTTGTTTTGGAATAAGCAGCAGGTCTACTACAGCACCTCTGGAAGACAGTTTTGATTAACTCATGCAGAAACTAAGATGCCAGTGGTTCAGTAATGTTGCCCTAAGACCTAAGCATGCTAATGATACCACACACAGCAAAAAAAAAATATGCACACATTTTGCTTATTACTTACAATGTCTGTAAAGACTCCAGGCCTCATCAAATTTATCATCTTCGCTACCTGGTAAACATCCACTGAGTTCTCATTTTCCAGTTGATGCATCAGTGTTGTTAATGCACAGAAAGTGCCTGCTGTCACCCCTCCATGCCTTTGTAAAGTAAAAAAAAAAAAAAACACACCAAACAAAATACAAACAAAAGTCTCTAGAAACTGGATCAAGTTTCTACAGCTGGAGAAAATACATAGTCCAGGGTAAACTGATAAGATTAATTTCTGTCATATGATCTTTACACTTTCTGAAATAGGCCTGCCCAACAGTGCCTTAACACAACCTTCACAGCACCTGGCTACAACTTCTGGAGAGTCTTTAAAAGCCAGTCAGAGTTATTGCCCTACAATCCTCTACTAACCAAACCTACAATCCTCTACTAACCAAATCCTGAAGGCCTCAGGTCCTTCAGTATTTTTGGTCATTATTAAACAGCTGGGGAAGGGTAAGGTGCCTCATCTAAACAGTCTTACTTCTTTCAGTAATACACAATGAAGCCCTGATTGATTTCCTCTCCTAATGCCCTACTGAACAATAAGCCCGAGTATCAAAATGATAGAATTGAAAACACTGAAGTGTGATAAAATAAAAATGTTTCCCTTGTTGATGCAGCTGAAACAGAAGCAGCAGCACTATTGTTAGGTGCAGACTTTGTGCTTTGTTTCAGTGGCTTTCACTCTAAGTGAGACGAAAGGATGGTTCTACAGAAAAACATCAAAACAAATTGAAAGATGCAGTTCTTACTCATCATGTACAATCATGGGTCCATCACGGTTGGAAGTTTCCTCTTTGATGATGCTGATCAGTTCAAAAGTTTTACTAATAGGACTATCAGGATTTGGCCATTTTGGACACTGAAAATGCCTCACTTCAAGTACATAGTCATCCTGAAAAAGTGAAAAAAAAACATAAATCAATTTGGTAAAATATTGACTGTCTTTATTCTTATCCTTCACCCTATTCCAGTCCGGCTCCAGCTTCCAGATACAGAATCCCACTGCTGTGGCAGTTGGACTACCCTATTCCCCATGTCACCACATTATCTATAGAGATTACTCGCTCCCTGGGTGTTTCAAGGGCATGGAATTTTATCACCCATTTACCATAGAAAATGTAACAAAATGTAGGCATTACCTTTAACAAATCAAGTCCTGAGTTACATGTTTATGACAGTGTTACCTGTGTAGCTTCTAAGATAAAGTCTTGGATTATGAGCTTCTCCTCGTTAGACAGACACTTGTGTTCTTCAGCAATCATAGTAACTTTGAAACTCTCACAGTTTATAGGCTCATCTTTGTTTGGCCAGTATACAAATTCATCTTCAGCCTTCAGGAAAAAACAAGAAGCCATAAAACTAAGAAATGCTGAGATCTTAAAATAAAACTTAGTAATCAATGCAGCCAGCTAGACTTAAATTGACAAATTAAAACTGGAGTGAGATTACAAACATCACAAGTGATGGTTTTCAGACACCTCTGTAGTGATCCTGACCAGAAGACCACTGTACCCCATGGAGACAGCGACCCACATGATAGTCAACATGTGTTGCGCTGTGCTGTGCTGTGCCACACGTCCAGCCTGGCCTTCAGGCTGCGTTGTGCTGCCCATAGTCCACGGTCACAGGATAAACTTAGCCGGTGGATGGTAACGTAGGAGCCTGCAGGCAGCTCCCCACTTTGTACCAATGATTATGCCACTTGCGTGGCCTTGGGATTATCTAAAAGTGCAGCAAGAAGTTCTCATGAGAACATCCTTTCTGTTTGACAGCAGAAACGATGAACAGAGTTGTTTTAAGACAAACCTATCATAGTTTGAATGACCAAAATGGGGGTAACCCTTCCATGGATGGGAGCTGCATGGCGTGGTGTAACTTGATCAGAGATACGTTCAAAGCTGCACAACTCGGGGTTCCCAGCATCTATCTGATGGGATGGAAGATTATCTATACTAGCCTCTCCTTTATAGTGTTAGCTCTAATAAATACCATTTTAAATGATACTTTACAGAGTCTGAGTGTCTTTCTCACTGGGATCATAATGAACCAGCACCTGCTGGCAAAACAACCTCCCTTATTACAAGGGCTAACTATCTGTGTAACATTCATAAAGCATTTGATGGGAAGAAAAAACCAAACATTGTCTTGGTTGTACATGTTTTTCCAATCATGCAAGACTCTCCAAAGCATTTGCATGGCTTTCCTCCAAACTCTACCAAACACGATGCCATCTCACACGTCAAGATTTCTCTAAGTACCAACCTAAAAGCTCTCAGAGATTCGTACATTTCTAGTAACTGAAAAACATACTCACTTGTTATTAAATTACATGTGCAGAATGAACACGTGAGCTTCTTTTGCTGTTTAGAGTCAGATAAATCCCTGCTAAACATTTGTTTGTAACTTTAGGAGACGAGCAAGAGAAACAACCTCATATTTCTCCCCTTACCTAATAATGGCTGAAGAAGCCATATTATTACAACTAATGGACCGAAAACTAACCTTGCATAATGGTTACTTCTGCTGTTTGGCTGTTTTTATAAATTATACAGGAATGATTCAATACTTTCTCATGCCAGTTGCAATCTGCCCACACAATGATCTCCAGACTTCCACTAGATGATCTGGAGATTTTACACTCAGCACAGTATTATTAATTTTTACTTTTTTTTTTTTTTCAAAATCCAAGATATTGTCTCATGTCCTGCATATTTCAAAATGGTAATACTAATAAAATTCATACATAAACCTGAAACAATCAGCTAAACTTACCATATTCTGGCTATCAGGAAGCATGACTATTAGCTGGGCATTATGGTCCCATATCATTCTCCAGAAATCCTTGATAGTGTGTAGTAAGGGATGCTGGGTAATAATGAATTCATTACTTTGATAATAACCCTGCAAAAAAAAATCAACAGACTCAGAACTTATGCCCAACTATTAACATTTAAAGGAAGCTTGTAGTGGACAGAGACAGAAGCCTAGAAAATAAATTGCAGACTTGTGCCTCCTTTGGCTTCCTGCAAATATTAGAAGAATACAAAACTTCCATTGCAGTATTTTCCAGACGAGAAGAATAAAATCAATTACACTGAAATAATTTTTAAAACTTAAAAAAATTGATAAAAAAAAAAAAGACAAAAGAAATCAGTGGAGACTTGAACAGCCAACTCAGAATGAAAATACGTTAACTCATACACACATGCTAATTGTTCTACGCTAGCCAGAGTTCCAGTGGAGTTGGAAACCTCAAACAAATAAAAGAATACTTGAAAGATCTGCAAAAATCCCAAGCGGGTCTCTTAATTTGGACAGATGTCCCAGATCAACTTCTCACCACAAGAGAATTCCTTTGCACTAATGCACCTGATGTAGGATCATGCATACACAGCACTGCAGGGAGCTTTCCCATCTCTTCCTTGAATGTCCAGGAAGCATTTACTCCTCCCTCACAGCTAATGAAAGGGAAAAGAGTTGAAGAAAATCCAGGGAACAAAAAGATAATGGGAAGCTAATGAGCTATGGTGCCTTGGGCTATGCCAGTTGCAAAAGCTCTGTAAGATGAGCAGGAAGGCAGGCAAACCACAGTACAGCCATTAAAAACTAACTTGTTAGTTAACACTTTTAGTTCATCTCAAAAGATCCTTTCATAGGTGGCATTTAGCTTTACCAGTTTTTAAAACTATGATGGGATTTCTGGTTCTGCAGATTGTTAAAATGCAATGCACTTAACCAAACTTAAAACCAGTAGTAACAGTAATAATACTTTCTGGGGGAAATAACTCTTTCAGGCAGAGTGAATAATGGAAGAAAGGAACTTTGAAAATGAGGACTGTGCCACCCTAACTCGGCCACATGGCAGCTCTGAAAACAGCTATACAACAGGCCATTGTTTTTCACCAATACAGTTAACTGACTTACCATAATATAGGAAGCATTGATGTAGTCTGTTCCTTCACCAGACAGTGATGAGATACCCACTCTAGATCTTTCCACTGTAAAAAAAAAAGTCATGAACTAGTACGTATGATACAATGACTCATATATTATAGCAATTATCTCTCATATCTCATAGGATTAACACTAAGCTCCATCAATCAGGATAAAGTGTAATCCAGCCATCTATTTTGTTTTCCTCTATGTAGTACTTAACAATTTCTTCACTAAAAGTACTTTACAGAGCATTGCTCCATGCCAATGCAGATGTCTTCAGTTCTTGCTGAGGAAAGGTTGAAGGTTTGACACACACAGTTCATAAACATTTTGCCACCCAGAGGAGGTGATTTGAACAAGCTTACCAGGAATGATGGATGAAGTTCGGTTCTTTTCTCTGTTACACTGTTTGAGTGCAGTTGAATAATCACACTGCTGGGTGTTAGACTGGCTCAGTAACTGAAACAATGAAATTAAAGAAAATCAGGTAACTGTACAAAACCTGTTTCTTCATTAGCTGCATTAAACAGAAGGGTGCATGTACTGCAGGTTAGCTGTTGCTCTTAACTTTAGGTATCTAGTCATCTGGCTAAACTACTTAGCAAGTCATCAGAATCTTTTCTTCACTGTTTTATCGGTCCAAATGATTCTTGAGCCCTAGGTCCATAAGCATGTCTTTGAAGAAAATGCCACTTCATGTTGTTCCATATCCAGCCCCCCAGTGCTTGTTGCCATCCTGGTGTTGTTTCGATTTTGCCTGCACAGCTGTTTGTGTAATTTTAAATAGTTTTGGAAAGCAGTAAATGTCTGTGCAGAAAAATCTGCATTGTTATATATAGACAGCATAGCTCCTGATGTGAGGCATCTCTAGATATCCCAGTTATGAGCTTCCTGATTTTCTCTCCAAACCTGTGATAGGAAAATAGGACTGATGTGGGGGGCGGATCATTGACTTACTTGTTTCAACTAATGCAATTCAAATAGACTAGAGTATGAGAAGGAATGAGTATATACATATATACACCACAATGCTGTATATATACTGCTTAGGCACGTAATAAGTTTGGAAAGCAGGTTTTTCCTAGTTTGTAGGGGCTTTTTTTGATTGCTAGAAAAATCAACCAGATTAATCAGAATGTTCAAAAGAATTCAAAAGACTTTTCTGTGATGTTTTGGGCTGGGCACATGTAGCTTTCAGAAGCTGCCTGCTTTGGAATAACAAATAGCAAACCAGAGAAGTTCCCTCAAAATGAATTAGGCCACAATTTTTTTTCATCTAAACCAGTTCTTCAGTAAAACAAGACTCCACATTTTTGTTATTATTCTAGTAATTTTAGCTTGAAAAGGAAATTGCAAAGGATTGAGTGATACATGTCCCTTTCTGATAATATTTAAGCTTTTGAAATTGGAGCTCTGCATGGCTTCTGCAATTTGCACTGCACACTCTGTGTTTATATATATTTACACATTCTATTCGTATATATTGTGTTTTATTCTTTCATCTGAGCAGGAAAGGTGGGATGCTTATTTCTCCAAGCACATCACAGCTGAGGTAAGAGTCCCTACTTTTCCCTAGGAAAAAACAGTGCAATACTGTCAGATCATTCAAGCCAGGATAGCAGCAAACTGTGAAATCCTTTGGTATGTTGTTCCTATTCTGTTGTTCTTGCATTGTTCATTATCTTGGAGAAATACTAGTTACTGTGCCTATGTGACCAAAATACTTCAGAAAATGAATATATTAATATTTTTCATAGCCTCATTATCTACTGACATTACCTATGGACTTATCTGCTTAAGTTTTTTAATTATGATCCAATAGCTAATTGTAGAAAGAATACACATTATCCCACGTAGTCCTCCTTAGAATTAAAATCCTTAGAGAGAAAGGTTCTAATAATTAATTTCCTGTTAAATTAGGGAGAGCAAAGTCTGTTTTGCTACTTAATCTGGAAAACATTTAAGTGTGATTTACTTCTCTGGATTCAAATCCATTTGAAAAGGTAGGATTTTCTGTGTTTCCCCTGTAAGTGACCCAGTGAGCGAGCTAGACTTCCCATTCTCCTCGAGTCAATGAGCTGTTTCCCTCATAGATTCTGGGCTGTTACCCAGCTGGGTCTGCTCTTTCTCTGAGTGACTGAAAGTCCCGTGCATGTACACACTGATCTCCACATCCACAAGCACCAAAGCGTTCACTTATCGCCTGCTGCGGTGAAGTCTGTCTTCTAGCCAGTGTTGTACACTGAGGGGAATATGCTGATTGACCAAGATAGATCATGACATTTTTGCCAGAACGACATCTTTCCAGACTGTTGTTTTATCTTTGGGATCTTCGCGCAAAGGCGTGTAGTTAGATTTTCAAAAATCTACTTACTGGCCTATTTCTCATGCTCTTTTTTTTGTTTGTTCGTTTGTTTAAGAGTATGCAAATAATTCTTTTGTCCCAACTGACTGCATGCATTTGTTAAATTGCTCCTGAATTTAGGCTCAGCAATTAAATTTTAGACAGAGAAAGGTAATGAAAGTTGTGTTAAGATACCCACTTTTAAGTCATTCAAGTTTGTAAACTTAAAGCTTTTCTTGTTACTATCTCGGAGAGCTCACCTTGAATTGTTTCTCCAGTCTGGTCTTTCCTGTTGGTCCAGGTATCAAGAGGGCATTAACATAGGCATGAATGTGAGTCTCAAGGACTTCTGTTTCTTTACTGAGTATCGCTTCGACCAATGCATCGTGAATGAAGATGTATTGCTCCTAGGAAAATAAAACCAAACATCTGGGCTCCAATTATTTTCAGATACCCCTGGACACCTCTGGCTAAGCTGCCACTTCTGACGTGGTCAGTATTTCTTCACAGCATGCTACTGTAGGGGAGTTTTCTCAAAAGCGATCTGCTACAGTGAAGGCTGTCCCTCTGCAGTGACAGTACACATTTACAAGCACAACTGAACTACACATACAATGTATAGATGATATAATACCAAATCCCTACCACCTGTCCTATCTCATGTTCACAGAACAGGGTTAAAAATGCAAGCATAGCCTTGAGTCAAATTTCCAAGTCAGCTTGTTATGCTACTCTCCCTGCCTTTCTTGCAATAAAGTGATCACTCCCAGTTCCTACTGCTATCCTCTATTTTCTCTATCACGTTCTTTGGAACAAGTGCCCATGCTGTTGTTGATTACCATTTTTTCTATTGAAAGGCACTGGGGAATCTGACCACCTGTTCTTGAAACCTGAAATAGACTTTCAAATGCCCTGCTGTTGTCCTTATTGTTTTCTTCTACTGTTCTATATATAATCTTCAGTTTAAAGCAGCTATAGATAATCTTCTGTCTGAAACAGATTTTTTCCTTACTTTTCATTGCCTGATATCAATTGCCTGATATTTTATTGCCTGTTTGATCAGGTTCAGTGAAGATCTGAACACCTGACAATGGTGTTTCCTTAAAAAAACTATGACAAAAATACATGCCCAGCCAAGAAAGTGAGATTTATACAGACTCTCTGAGTCCTCCCTGATAAACAGACAAGAGCCCACAGATAGGTAACTTCTAGTGCATTGCTCTAAGCAAGACTAAAAGGATGTCTCTATAAAAACAAGGGAAGTAAAAGGGAAAGTCCAGTTTGGTGACTGGTTGCCAGCCTCTCTGGCAGTGCCAAAAAGAGGACAATTTCTGTTCTGCAAACAGAAATAGTGCGTAATAGTGTCTCACTGTATGTATTTTATTCTTACCTCAGTCTGCACCAAGTAGTTCCTCTGGGTACGTATGTGTTTTAAGAATCCAAATATGTTGACTGTCCCTTCATGCTGGATTTGCTGCAGCATGCTGTCTAACACTATGTATGTGCCTGTCCTTCCAACACCAGCGCTACAAAACAAAATAATAGTCATGAGCCTGAAGTAAAACAATAATGAAAAGAACTGTTTCTTATACATAGCTTTTTTCAACAAACTGCTCTGTAGGGAAGATCTTCCTCTACAAATTGTTTTATTATATGATACACTTTGCTAAAACTTCAAGGCTGGTAATGAAGAAAAATCCTTCAAACTCATCTTTTTCCTTGTGCAAGAATAGATCTAAAGATCATTTTCTCAAACGATTTTTAATGTTATCAATTGAAATAGAACTAAGGGGTTTCCTGCAGGTCTGCAATTTTCAGGCTTCTGATATTCCTTAGGATACTTTGTCAAGTATACCTAGAAAGGGTGGCATACGTCAGCATTTGGGCACAGTTAATGTGCTCAAGTTCTTCTATGTTGAAACACATAGCATTTTAAAGGGAAAGTTGCATTATGCCACCCATTACAGACATAGGAGATTTCAAAGATACCAGGCTGAGGAAAACCCCAGGAACTGGAAGAGCTGCTGAAGGTACACCTGTAAAAGAAAAAGCTTAGCACTCTTCAGATACAGCTAAGATGGCAAGCAATGGTTGCAACCCCTCTTAAAAAGGCAAAATGCAGAAGAAAGGGTTAATCAACTCACTCCTGTTATGAACTCTGACTCATCTAGCATAAAACCAGCTGTATTCTAAGACTAAAACCTGACTTTTTCTTTCATAAAATATCTGGGTAGGGAGTACTAGGTCAAGAGGTCATTTTTTGTTATCTAGTTATATATGGGAATTAGTCAGTTGTAATTCCCCTCTAAGTTATGAGGAAACGTTATGTGTATTGGTACATGGAACTTGACAGCAACACTGTGCTGGGTCTGCATGGTCCCTTAAGGGCAGATCCAAGCTCAGTCCATACATGGTAATTCAGTCATCTCATTTCTTCCACACAGGTGGCACAAAGCACGGGTAGTGTGAGCTCAGATTTCTGTAATAAACTGTCTAAATAGATGTGATATAAAACTGAAAGGTCCAGGTTATTAGCACACTATTAGACATGAAAAAGGTATAAAGATTACCAGACACCATCTGTACTTGTTATGAAAGACAAAACATGAAAAGTACCAAAACATAAAAATAGCTAAAAAAAGTTTCATGAAGGTTGTCATCTGTGTCCTCCATGTAGCCTGTAAAGATAAATAAAAGTTACGTTTCTACCATGAGATGACTCCTTTGAAATTCCATAGTGCATGGGGACGGGTGAACTAAAAGCTGAACAAAACTGCCTGCAGACCGAGGTGAGTTATGCCTATGGCCCAATGGAGAGGTCCGACTGAAGCCACACAACTTACCACTGTACACCTGTTAAAACCTCAACTTAATTGACTTATAATGCATTGCTGATCTCTCAGCCCGCTGGCATAGATCTCAGACTTGGCATTTTGGGGAAACTCTTATTTTGAACTTCCCAAGAACAGGCAGGATGTAGATAGCGGCAGAACAACCAAAATGTGGAATTTTCATTTTCCAAGCTAAAAACAGATTTCAGTCAGGTAAGATCATCCCAGAAATAAAATATCTTCATTTGCAGCATTTGTGAGGCGACTTTACCTGTTGGCTTCCTCAGAGTCAGCTCCAGAAGGACAGAATTCATGAGGAGGTTCTCTTTCCAAATGTTCCATCAAAGGTGAGGTACTACAGTGGAAAACCAGAACCTGCTTATATATTTTACAATAACCCGGTCCTTCACGGGCATTGTGAAGTCATTCCAGGCCCTACAAGCCCTTTTTAACCAATTTTCCCTGAGCTGCCCAGTTTTAGTGAGCACTGACAGAACACCTGCCTGCACTCTGTGGCACATGCAGACCTCAAACCGTTCCCCAGAATGCTCCTCCATTGCAAGTGACTGCTAGAGCGCAGAGTAATGTTAAAAACAGCAGAGTTGTAGTTCAGCCAGGAATAGAGCGAGTCTTCTTTTGTGGACAGAGCTCCTCTTAGGATTACAGAGTATCCCTGCACCAAAGAAAGCATGAGCCAAAACCATCCTAATGATATATTTGCAGAAATGAAACAATTAATGCTATATATGTATCAGGTAAGCTCGTAGCAATCAAGAGAGTAGTATAGAAATGTGCAAAAAAGTAAAAAGAAAAGCATTTTTGCAAAAAAAAGAACATAGTGCAGATCAGCATCATCTTGTTTATAGAGATTTATAGAAGTGGCACAGACAGTTGATTAGTTGGCCTTACCAAGGATAGAAATATCAGCTAAGAAATTAATCTTACTCCATCAGGAATTGTTAAATGTGAGAGTGAAATTTTACTTATCCCACCACTGAAAAATTCTTTTTTCTGCAAAACAAAAGCGGAGTGAACCTTACGGCAGTAAAAACCACACCTGCAATGAACCACAACAGGCCCAACAGCGTGGCGCTTGGCATGCGATGCCTTCCGCACGAAGGTGAGCACGGGCAGCGTGTATTCTGGAACACCCATGTCAGGCCACTGGGTATAATGGTACTGAGTTACTATACGTCCACTAGACCTCCCTTTCTGGGAACCCTGCAACAGAAAAATAATTCCGTGTGTAAGCAGCTCACACCTGAACGGCAACTCTTCATAATTTTATTCCCATACCTGACAGTTATTGAATTAGCACTGTCCCTATTTAGTCAACACCTAGCTCTGAATATTCCAGCTTTCAAAGAGAAGGGAAAGGGCCAGTGCTTCTGTCCCATCAGCTTGCCCTCTGAATGGAAAAATGACCTGCCACTGTCCCTTAGAAAGCCATAGAGAAAGGCTAAGAGCACTGGAGGGATAACAAATTACAGCTGCTCTTAAGAGTCACCAGCTGTTTCTGCCACTTGGTTCCTCTGCTGGGTGGACAGAAAGGGTAGGATTCACCTCACAGCTTTAGTGATCTACAAGGTAAGTAGCCCTGTGCAGGCTGCTTTTCTAAGCTCCCTCCCTCAGTGGCAACTTAGAGGCAGGGATACCTTCGGAGAGCAGGTCATCTCATTCAAAGATTGGTTCCTAAAATAGGCAGAATAAATTACTTGGCAATAAGTGCTGTACTTTAGCCATTAATGGTACAGGGAGGCCGAGAGACTAGATGTCTAACATTTAGGTGGCTGAAATAAATTAAGCTTTCAGAATGCCCCTTGAAGTAGCCAATGTCACACTGCTGAGCTGGTTCTGATTACAGTAAAACAAGGTGTGGATTCACCTGTTTTGCAGGGGGGTAAAAATTTAGTCCTTAAAAAGGAAAACTGACAGCTGAGGTGGATGATTTAATTCATACCACGTTTTCTACTAGCTGCTCACTTTCTGAAAATGTATCCTCCTGCTCATCAGGCAGGCAAAGTCCAAATCAGCTCTCCAGTGTGATCACAGCCTTTTCCTTGATGGTCCTACAGCACACCAGTACTACAGGCCAGTATCTTCTCAATTTGTTGATCTGGTCAAATTAACTCTGAAGATGACGAGCATCTCAGCTGGCTGAGACCTACAGGATTCAGCTTTACCTATACAACAGAAAAGAGCTGCCAACTGCCTTAAAAAATATCCTGAGCAACTTTTAACACTCTCTTTTGCCCAAACTATTTTCAGGCTGCCACAAACCTTTTTGATCTTGGTGTTTCTAAGAGTAAAGTTCCTCACAGTGTAATAGGCAAGTACATGAACACTCTTCTGAGTAACCAAGAAGTTCCCATATTCTTCACTACCTTCGGCAGGCCAGTACTGGTCACATTTTCTCTGTTAGAATGCAAATGAAAATCAGAGAAAAACAGACAGAAAACAAAATGTGAAACTAGCAAGCTGAAATGCTCACATTTAAGAGCACAGTCAACCACAAAAACATACAGGGACTCTCAATACACCCAGTTTATAACAGACATGATCTTCAGCATAAGAGAACAAGTAATGTGTATTTTACACTGTGAAAAGAGATGGTTATGCAAAGATGCTCTTTATTTGGAATACTCCAATACAGGGAGGTTTAAATCATACTATCAGAGTTAAAGGGCTTTAATATTGTGGAACTTGTCATTGTATAGCCACTCTAAAATCTAAAGAAAATAACAGATAATCTATAGGAAAAACAGGAATACATCAAGTCAGTAGACTTTATGTGACTTTTGGTTAGCTCATAGCACGGGCAGAGTATACTTATATCTGACCAGCGAGGGTAAGAGTGAGCTTGTGTGCGGCCAGAATATACAGTAGAGAGCTGTGATGTCCAGCCTTTTGGTTGGGTAGCCATATAGCCTTCTCTAGGAGTACTAGAAGTTTGTAGCATTTAGAAGAATAAACTTTATAGTATATAGTTTCAAACACGTTTATAGCATGGTATTATAAATGAAGTGGTACTCCCAGTGCGGCCCTTGTCTGCATTTGCTTTGTCTGTATCATCTGATGGATGCTTAATAGGTCATATGACAAGACCTACATCCATTTTAGGCATTGCTGCTGGTATGTGGTATGTGTGATGCAATGTCTCCTCATGTGACCCCAGGGTACATGCATACTCCCATCACATAACCAGAGAAACAGACATCCTGTGATGGGGTTTGACCTCATTTTGTCTCATTGGACAAACATGCGTCTAGTCATGTAGTAGAAAAGGAACTGTGTGGGTCCCACGGGATGTTAGCAGGGAGCAGCCAGTGAATATCCATAAAAATTCACCCGAACTACAGCCTTCTCCTTTCCAGGGTCTAAGGCACTCCTGAGAAAGAGAATGACGGAGAGCAGATTGCTAGCAGAATGTGACACAAGGTCTACAGTCTGGCCACTCCTAAATATATACAAGAAGGGGTTTTCTTTTCAGTGTAAGACAATTTTTTTGTAGTTAGAACATGGTATTTTCATAACTTGCTGTTGACAATTGAGTTTAAAAGTTTCCTTTAGTTTCACACTATAAATCCTCAACTTTATACTTCTATAGCCAATCCTAGTACAAGCAACTACTACAAACTGTTGCTTTTTGCCCAACAAATGTCTAAACCAGATTTTTAAAAGAGAGAAAGGAGTCTGCTAGACAACATCAGAGAAATAAATAATAGACAAAGGTACTCATACCCTTCCTTTCTCAACGAGATTAGTTATCATCACAATAACTTCTACGTTATGTTCCCATATCATTCTCCAGAAATCTTCTGCTGTCGATTTTAGTGGCCCTTGAGCTGCAATGTAGGCTTTTGGCTTGTTGTAGCCCTAAATTGAAATATAACAAATGACACTTGTCAAATCACAGTCCACGAGCAAAAGGAGGTTGGGAGGAGTACATGACATTATATGTATCTATTTTTAAAGAATCTCAAAAGCGTTTAAGTACTTTTGAATTTATCACTAACCAAATCGCAGAAACCCTATGGTACCAGATGACATATGAATGTAACTGTTAGGTCAATGTTTACCATTCCAACAAATAGGATACATGTTCAAGTGCCTGTGTTCCGGCAGAATGTTGACATGATAGTGATTATGAGACATCTGTTATGATAGTGGTTTAAAAAATGAATCAAGATCATTCACATGTAAAATACTAGGTAATGAAAACTGAATAAATGGTACCCTGGTGAGGCTCTCGGCCAAATGGCATCTTCCTCTCATGAGATTACCTCAGACAGAAGAATTAACCACTTACCAAAAATGTATAAAAGAACAAACATTCAGATGCGAAATGCTTCTAAAATGACTCAGATGTGACAGATCATTTTTTGTTTCGTAAAGCTCTTCACTAAGCTGCAGCTGCTACAATATCAAGACGGATTCAAGAAAGAATTGGAGTTTTACCTGGGCTTTAACTTTGTAGGCTTAACTTAGATCATTAAAGGTTTTTTTAACAAAATCTGTAATATTGTGATACATTTTTTTATTAAGTCTATTCACCTCCATACATCCGTTTTTACAGACAAGACTGACAGATGAATAGGCTGGCAGATACAAAAAGGCACTTACATCAACGTAGTTGGCATTAATGTAATCAGTCAGTTTTCCATCCTTTTCTGCAAGCTGTGCTAATTTAACCCTAGTATGATCATCTGTAGTAAAACAAGGGAGAAAATAAGCATAGTTTTCTGCAAGAATTATATTCTTTCTACAAGAAATCTTTTTAAAAAATACTGAAATGGATTTTTAAGACTAAATAGACTAAAACAGTGACAATCACATATGCAAACATCCTGTGCTTAGGTATGAATCGGATTCAAAATTCAAGTTTGCAGAAAAACAAACTAATGAATCCAAGGATTCAAGGGATTCAGAATTTAGTTGCCAGAACAGCAGCACCTGGGGTCATTTTAGGCACTGTGCCATGCTCCCCTCCAGCCTCCAGCTGTGGCTTGTGAAGGGGCATGGGTCTTCTGTAAGTCCTGTGTCATGTACAGCCAAGCTTGCACAGTGGGATGTCTCAAATGACAGTAGGCACCGGTGTTTAGGCATGTTAATTCCAAGTTAAAGAGCAGAGACTGGAGAGCAACGGGACCTTGGAGAAGCTGGTCAGCTGAACAGCCTTAGCAGTGGCTACCTCAGGGAGAGCTGAAGCTTTCTGTAGCCTGCACCAGTTCTAAGGGGTAGAGACTTGATTCAGTCGCACAGGGTAATTCTTGCTACCTGAACTGCCCTAAGCTGCTTGTGCACTGCCCTTTGATAAAAAAGCCACTGGGTTGGCACCTTTTGTACGATCAGGTACAAACACAGAGTGGCAGAGGAAAATCCCTGACTTTCTGTTGCTCTAGAGGTATCTTCGTCCAGGTGGAATGGGATTTCTTGCTGCTGGTTTACATTGCCTTCTGCCAGATGGGCTGATTCTGTCTCTTTTTCTATTAAGCTCTAGTGATGCTGAATGCTGAACATATATTTAATTTAGAGGTTCTTGTTATCAGAACAAAGTTGAAATACTATAGAGAGTTAAGAAAAATATATTAAGCCACGAAAATGATCAAGAGCCCAGAGGCAATAGCTTCAAAGAGAGATTAACAAAACTGAATAGATGTGTTTCAGAAAAGAAAAATCTGGGATAGTGAAGAAGGGCGACACAATGGGAAAACACGTGTCCTGGCTAATGAAGCTGATCTATTACATTGTGGCAGGGCACAATACAACATAAAACCAGTACATTTATTATTGATACATGACAGTAAATATATCCAGGGATTGTGAAGTTCCTAGAGAGGATAAATCATCATTATTCCAGATCAAAGATGGATTAATTTTGGCAATCAAAACACAGCTTCTTTGGCTTTATAATGGCATTATAATGAAATCTCCCAAATCCCTTTGGGTCATCACAGAAGACACAAATATGTCTTGCTAACACATGCTCATCAAAGCAGCAGAATGCCAGAGGACTAACTTAAAGATATGTGAAATCTCATGCTACTCCTCTCCAAGCATTTTGCTGAACAGTAGCCAGAGCTTTCAGTGTAGAGGTATTTTTTTGCCCTCTAATAACATATAAATCTATACTTGTCTATAATTATTTCTTAAAAAAAACACCGAGTGATGCGTTTACTTACAAGCAACAATGTTTATGTATCGATTCTTATTCTTGTTGTCGGGGTGATTAGAGCTGTCTGATGTAATACCTAGATCTACAGTACAGCTCTGGATTTCCTGAAAAAAAAAGGGTATGTCATACTTTAGGAAACATTAAGATACATAAAATGTCTTAAAATACAGTAAGTCAGCATGAAAAGAACCACAACCTTATACCCAATTATCTATGATATTTTACAACTACTTCATTGCTAAAAAAAAATGCAGTGAAACAATTCCTTACCTGATAAAACTCTTTCAGTGTCTAATGAGGGAATGAATGCAAAAAAAGTAAAAAAAATCAAATTCCACAGCACAGAACAAATGGATAAAAATGTTTATATAAATTACAATTACTATATGGAAAACAGTTATGGTCATGCAATATATAACTTCATAATAATAACAAAGCTGAATATTTTGACATAACTCTTAAAGGAAACAAGAGATAATTTTCCTGTTAAAATACGGGCATCTGTTTTCCTATCTTTAGCTTTAATGTTAGACCTTAGGCCGGTGAAAGCTTATACATATGAGCAACATCACTGACTTTAGCCAGATTATCTATATATTTAACTGTTCGTTGGATTTGTTATTGGTCCTTATAACTGCATTAGTTTCTCTGTGGAATGCTTTCGCTCTCTTTGCATTCAGCTGTAAAACCTCCACTGGAGCAGGACAGCGTGCCGCTCAGCCAGCCTCGTGGCACTCTGCTGAAGGACCGCATTGCAGCCCTCAGTCTGCCGGCAGTTTCTCAGTGACCCCAGTGTTGTTACAGAGAGAGAGACAGGCCTGAGAAAGACAGGCACAAGGTCTATAAAGCTCACAAAATTAATTTATTTTATTGATTACGTTAACTGACAGGAAACTCAAGCATTTATAAGGGCCACATCGTTAAGCAGGAAATATGTTGTCATGAATAAAAGTACTATCGTAATGTTTCCCAGCACTTTTTAGGATTTATTTTAATATTAATCACCTTCAGCTATTTAAGTATATATGTGAAAAGTGGTTATCAGTCTGAAAATTAGATTTGAAATATGAGTTGGTTTATAGTAACATACGTAAAAAACCTGAGCCATCCCTGTACTCTCTTCTCCAAATGTATCCTGACAGTGACTGTATTTCAATTTTTCCATATCTTCTAAGTTCTTTATCGGTAGTGAAAAGACAGGGGAACTAATTCTGGGGTAGTCTGTAAAGCCAAAAAGGATCTCCAAGAAACGATAAGGCCACTGAGTTTTTTGTAATAGTTAAAACAAACATGAAATATTTCAGATGGTGTACGTATAGCTCAGTGAGATGCAGCATATTTGGTGTTTGGATCAATGCTGTAATTTAGGAAAAGAACAATTTTAGGAAAAGAACAATTTAGGATGAACAATCTGATTTCTGTATTGCTGTCCTCACTAATGGTGAAGAACGTTGCTACCATTGTATTTACAGAGTCCTTCAAAACCTGCTCTTATTAACAGCCGGTCTAGCTGGAGCCCAGTCCTTTCAGTGCGTATGCACATGTGTAACATATGAACATGTACTGGACATTCACAAGTATTTACAAGTTTGGTCCCACAATCAGATGGATATTCTGAATGTCAAATGAATTGGAGAAGAAATGCTGATGAAGAAGGTTAGGTGAATGACATGGAATTTTTGGTCCATTAGATCACAACACATTGGCTGGGGAAACAACAGCAAAACCAAAATATGCAAAACTTTGAATTTCTTTACTTTCAGTATTGTT